CCAGACACAGGAAATATAAAATCAGGAGAAAAACAACTTACTCATAATCACGGAGGAGAGAATCAGGAAAAAGCTTGAAGATTGCAGGAAAATTCGCCGACGGAAGCTAGGGTTTTTGCAGGGAGAACTTTGAATGCAAAGGAATTTTGGGAAGACGAAGGTGGAAAAAGTCCAAAATTTCGCTAAGTACTGGTTTTATTCTTGGGGAAAATTAAAAGGGAAAGAAGGAAGACCGTCGGATTAAAGCTAGATCGTGCGGCGGGGATATTAAATGGCACGGTACTCCAAGCGGGCGCGTTAGGCGAGGGGGCGTCATCATTAAAGCATCTGACACACGCGAAAAGGTGGCACGCGTGGCGAAAAAGTGGGCGCGACAAGAAAGACGTGGGACAGGAAACTTTATTACTGGAAATTAATGAAGAATTATTCAAAAGAATAGGCGGGAAACCCTTCAACTGGTCGACACCCAATGATGGGCCACCCAGAAGATCGATAAGCATGAACTCACTCTTAGATCGAGTCATTCAGACTCGACCAGAGTGGGGGGGGACTAGATGATATAGGATATTATCTGTACAAAGACGAGCCGATTTGGTGAGCCGGTCGAGAAGAGCAGACCGGGAGCAAACCAAGTCGAAAGGCGAAAATCCAAGGGATCGAGCAGCCCCAGGGCTCGACCACACAAGCGATCGAACAACCCAAAGCTCGACTGCACTGGCGCTCGAGTAGCCTGACGCTCGATCAGACTGCTCGAGCTACCCATCAATCGATCAGATAAGTGATCGAGCAAGCTGATCAACATAAGCCCAGACGCGTGTATAGCAGACGCGCGTGAAGGTCTTCGACTGAGCTTTAGGAGAATATTTACCCCATGCGCCGGGTGGACACGTGTCGACAATGTATTGGGTGATAGCGATAACCACCTCTGACAACGCCCAAACGTCCCGCGGCACCTCTGACATGTGCGCGGCGTGTCAGAGTACGGACGGGCAGCTTGGGCAGCACACGTATCCTTATCCGGGCAGCTATTAGGGCAGGTATCTCACCCTTATAAAAAGGGGGATGAGCCTTTCTTCCTTAACACGTTCTATTCACTCTCTAAATTCCAGTATACTCATACACATACTGACTTAGGCATCGGAGGCTCTACACCGGATCCAACCCCCGGTGTGAGAGTTATTTGCAGGTTCTCGGCGTTCTACCGGCAAGGACAAGAATCGATCTACTCCGAACTGGACCCGGACGCTTACACTTGCATTACGTTTTTTTATAAATAGTAAAGATAACGGATTTTTAGAAAAGAAATGTTTTTCTGTAGCATCCCGAGACATGATTTCGCAAACTAAAACATAAACTTTAGAAAAGAATTTGCGAAAATCGCACTCTGATTTTAATAAGCTAGTGGGGTGTTACAAATTGGTACCAGAGCACGTTTTTGTGTATCTGAATACTTTTTAAGTCAGAAATTTTCAGAAAAAACCCGACCACGCTATGCTCACGCTTCGCCGACTACCAGGTAAGTGCTGAGTTATAGTTTTTATATACTTAAATGAATGCTTAAGTCTATGCTCAGTAAGAGGGTACCAGATATTTGACCTTAGAAACCAGTAAGATGCTCGAGTATTTTCAGAACATAGTCGATTGTCTCAGTTACTTGATAATTCAACTTTAGTTTTCTCGGGTTATTTAGCGACTCGTCAAGAAATTTGTGTGTACTTAATCAGTCAGTCAGTTAATCTCTTATGTTATTTAATCATGTTAAACATTTCAATGTTCAGATGCCTTTTCGTAGAGATCCAGGTCACCAGGAACTCCCACAGGCCACAGTGGTCGCACAGTTCCGCGACTACCATCCAGAAAAATTTTCCGGCCAAGGAGATCCTCGTATAGTAGATGAATGGGTTCAGGGCCTCGAGATGATTTTCGAGGTCATGGACTGCCCTGATCGTTACCGGATGTTATGTGCACAAATTCAGTTGACCGGGGATGCCCGACTCTGGTGAAATGCCTATTGGAGTATGCGTCCCGGCGAGAAAGAAGGTTGTACGTGGGACCAATTCAAGGAATTGATCTGAGAGAAATACTATCCCTCGTACTACCGAGCAGACATGGAGCGCCAGTTCTTGGCACTCACCTAGGGTACTCGTTCCGTTGACGAGTACGAGAGAGAGTTTACCCGTCTCGGAGCCTTTGTACCCGATCTCGTGAGTACAGAGGCGAAGAGAGCCCATCGTTTCACTGACGGACTTCGCCCAGCAGTCCGCCACAACATCTTAGGTCACGGTGTCCAGACCTATGCCCGCACAGTTGCCATTGCTCAAGAAGTCGATTCCAGTATTCGACGAGAAGCCATCCAGACACCAGCCCAGCCAGTTGCTCAGCCACCAGCCCAGCCCAAAGTTGCTCAACCATCAACAAGCAAGAATAAAAGGAAGTTCAAAGGGGGTCCAGATGATCGCAGGAACCACCAAAGACAGAAATCAATACCAGAATGCCCAACATGCGGGAAACACCACCGTGGAGAATGCCTCGTGGGCCAGAATATTTGTTTCTTTTGTCACCAGCCAGGCCATATCAGCCCCAACTGTCCAGAATGACTGCAACAACAACCGCAACAACGTCAACCACCACAGAAACTTCAACAACAGCAGCCCAGGCAGCAACCACCACGACCCCAACAACAGCCACGTGGCAGACAGTAGGCCCTCGTCTTTGCAGTTGACCAGATGGAGGCCGACCAGCACCCAGGTACCATGTCCGGGATGATTATTCTTAATGATGTACCTGTTTATGCCTTGTTTGATACCAGAGCGACCCATTCCTTTATATCACGCCAATGTCTCGAAGCTATTGGGGTTCATTCTATTACCGTTGTCGATCCTCTCGAGGTGAGTTTAGCCTCGGGACGAAAGATAGTGACTGATGCTAAAGCCACCGATCTCAGCCTTTCCATCGGCGGTCGTATTCTGATTACTGATGCTTATGTTATCGAGATGAGGGACTTTGACCTCATACTCGGTATGGATTGGCTAACACGTTTTCACGCGGATATTCGATGTCACGACCGGGAGATTACTCTTTATCTTCCGGGAGATGATCAGATCACTTATTACGGCTCCAGGACTCGTACTCTGCCCCACGTTATTTCTATGGCGAAAGCCAGAAAGATTCTTCGACGGGGTGATTGTCAGGGTTACCTTGTGAGCCTCGTTGGAGATGAGCCAAAGGCACGTTCACCTCATGACATTCCTATAGTTCGTGAGTTCGTCGACGTGTTCCCAGAACAGCTTCCTGGAGGTCCACCTAGCCGACAGGTGGAATTTTCTATTGATCTTATCCCTGGAGCCGGACCCGTTTCTAAGGCGCCGTACCGAATGGCACCTAAAGAATTGCAGGAATTAAAAACCCAAATTCAAGAGTTGCTGAATCTCAGTTTTATACGACCGAGTGTTTCTCCTTGGGGAGCACCAGTTCTCTTTGTCAAGAAGAAGGACGGATCCATGCGTATGTGTATCGGCTATCGGGATCTTAACCGGTTGACGATCAAAAATAAATATCCACTTCCCAGGATCGATGATTTATTTGATCAGTTGAGGGGTGCCTGCGTGTTTTCCAAGATTGATTTGCGTTCAGGCTACCATCAGCTGAAAATCAAGGAGTCAGACATACCCAAGACAGCGTTTCGTACGAGATACGGTCACTTCGAGTTTGTGGTTATGCCGTTTGGCCTCAGTAATGCCCCGACAGTATTCATGGACTTGATGAACCGTGTATTCTATCCTTTTCTCGACCAGTTCGTTATTGTCTTCATCGATGATATTCTTATTTATTCCAAGAGCCAGAAGGAGCACGAGGAGCACCTGAGGGCTGTTCTTTCGACCCTTAGACGTGAGAAGTTGTATGCAAAGTTCTCCAAGAGCGAATTTTGGCTTCAGCGAGTGGCCTTTCTTGGCCACATTATCACTCAAGCAGGTATTGAAGTTGATCCTTCCAAAATTGCTGCAGTTCAGAATTGGTCAGCACCAAAAAAGCCGTCCGAGGTTCGTAGTTTCCTCGGCCTTGCAGGTTATTATCGCAGATTTATTGAGGGGTTCTTGAAGATTGCCCTCCCTTTGTCTCAGCTGACAAGGAAGTCTGTAAAGTATGAATAGACAGACCGTTGTGAGTAGAGTTTTCAGGAGCTGAAAAGGAGATTTACGATAGCACCGGTGTTGACTATTCCGGATCCTTCTCGGAGTTTCACCATCTATAGTGATGCTTCGAGGCAGGGTTTGGGATGTGTACTTATGCAAGATGGCCAGGTCATTGCTTATGCTTCACGCCAACTCAAACCACATGAACATAACTACCCGACGCACGACTTGGAATTAGCTGCAGTTGTTCATGCCCTCAAGATTTGGCGACATTACCTATACGGCGGTCGATGCGAGATTTTCACCGATCATAAGAGCTTACAGTATATCTTTACTCAGAAGGAGCTCAACATGAGACAGTGCCGTTGGTTAGAGCTCGTCAAGGATTATGATTGTACGATTCAGTACCATCCAAGAAAGGCGAATGTTGTTGCTGATGCCCTAAGCCGCAAGGTGAAGGGTGACTTGACTTACGTCGTTACTCAACAGAGTCAGTTGATTCAGGAGTTTTCCCGGATGCAGATTCAGGTGATTGATGCACTTCCTACAACCAGTACGGGGAGTGTCAGTTCCATGCAGGCTCAGCCGACGCTGAGGGAAAGAATCCGGCAAGAGCATGCTTCAGATGAGTTTATTCGTGCAATTGATGCCAAGGTTCGTGCCGGAGGCGTCGAGGGTTTTTACCAAGGCACTGATGGGGCCTTGGAGTTTCGTGGCAGGATTGTGGTGCCGAAAGTCGAAGCATTGAGAAAGGAGATTTTATCTGAGGCTCATACCACACCATATCTAGCCCATCCAGGAATTACAAAGATGTATCATGACCTGAAAAGGTCGTTTTGGTGGCGAGGATTGAAGAAAGATGTAGCCGACTTTGTGAGGAGATGTTTAACCTGTCAGCAAGTCAAAGCCGAACACAAGAGTCCCATAGGCCTTCTACGACCACTGCCGATTCCGAAGTGAAAGTGGGAGGAGGTTACGATGGATTTTGTCACGGGGTTACCGAGGTCGTCTGAACATCACGATGTTATCTGGGTCGTGGTCGACAGATTGACTAAGGTTGCTCATTTCTTGCCAGTATCGATGAGTATGTCTTTGGACAGGTTAGCTAAGATTTATGTCCGTGAGATCGTTCGACTCCACGAAGTTCCTGTTACTATCGTGTCAGACAGAGATCCTAGATTCACCAGTAGATTCTGGCAGAGTTTACACGAGGCGATGGGCACGAAGCTAGCGTTCAGTTCAGCCTACCATCCAGAGACTGACGGACAGACAGAACGGACTATACAGACGTTGGAGGATATGTTACGAGCTTTGGTTGTTGACAGGGGTGCTAAATGGGAGTCGTTGTTACCGTATGTGGAGTTCGCGTACAACAACAGTTATTATTCTTCTATTCAGATGGCTCC